AGAAAACTTAATTAACATGCTGATAATGACTGCATAGATTTAAAACTAGGTCGACTGCCACCTACTGGTGAATTAGGGTTATATCTTTCCTCTCTATCCTGATAGATGCAGAATCAAGTTTTCAGAAGCATTAATTGGCAGGTACCTGTGTGGGTTTAGCGATGGCAATTTGTTGGTTTGAGGATAATATTTGATAATATTTAGACTGATTTGATTCTTGAAGAGGAAACATATTATATTAAATTAATATTATATTTGAATTCTCACTAAAATTTCAACATAAAGATGTGCATCACAGTGTACTGAGCCAAAACCTCTGCACAAATTCCTTATTTAAGTAATTAAATTAATTAATACAAGTAACTGACATAATATTAATATAATTAATTTATATTTTTCATTAATAATACAATTATCACTGTTTTAACCACTCCAATTCACATTTAAAATAGAATTTAGATTTATATATTTAATATTTATAATAAATATTTGTTCAGTTATAACACATTATTATTAAATAATATATACAGTTATTATTAAAGATTATTTATGTTTTAACCACGCAAAAACTTATTAGTATATAGGACACTTATATTTAGTATATTCAGATTTTTTTGTTTATTTTTAATGTATTATTTTTATTTCATGCAATAACATTTTTTTTTAAATAACCAAAAAATCTAAATATACTAAATATAAGTGTCATTTTTGGGTGAACTAACACGTTAATTCATAATTCTTTGTTTTTCAGTGTTGGGAAATGTTTAAAGGTTTCCTTTTCCTTTTTTCCCCCCTTGCCTTCCCCCTTTTTTATTTTTATTTTTTTTTATATTTGCCTAGTTATGTCATGTGAGGATCCAGGACTAGTGGACAACAGCCGGAGACTGGTGACCGGCTCTCGTTTCTCTGTGGGATCGTCCGTGGAGTACATTTGCAACAAAGGATACTCACTTTCTGGCCCAGGAGTGCTCACTTGCTACAGCAGAGACACTGCAGCCCCAAAGTGGAGTGAAAGACTGCCCAAATGTGTCCGTAAGTGGAAAACATCTGTGCTGTTGCATTCTTAATATTTATTTCTCAGCATTCCAAGAAATGCAAACCTAAATCTTACACTCTACTGCCATCTAGTGGACTTCAGGATTACTGCGTCCCAGCACATACAGTGCATTCCAGCAGACTGAAATCTCTTTTTTTCTTTAGCTGAAAGATATGAACCCTGCAGTAACCCTGGCGCCCCCTCCACGGCCATCCAAAGTTCAGAGAAAGCGTTCTTCCAGGCAGGAGAGACTCTGAGCTTCACCTGCCGTGCAGGTTATGTGCTTCAGGGTGAACCCACTATCCACTGCCTCCCTGGACATCCCTCTCAATGGAGCGGAGCGCCCCCTATGTGCAGAGGTACAAACTGCACTCTTAAAGTAAAATGTTTAAATAAAATGTTCAAAAAAGAAAAGGTCTGTATAGACAAGAATTATTATCCTAATCTCCTTTAGTGTAAGTGGCATACATCTTACATGAGTTTTAAAGCACTGTTCAATGTTTCAAGTGTATCACATTAGATGTTGTTGTTTTTCAGCTTCCATAAGGAACAATGAGGAACACAGATTGAACGGTGACACTATTTTTCATATCATCAAAATGTTTTGATCACTAAAGATTCAAACATCCTAATTCATCATTGTATTCTTTTTTTTAAATGTTCCATAAAATGTCCACATTACAGCTGCTGATTCAGAGTTTGATGTAGAGGACGTCAACATCGCTATCGCAGTTCTGATTCCTGTAGCGGCGGTGCTGATGCTCCTCTTGGTCGTTTTCCTCTGCATCTCAATGTAAGTTTCAAGGGCAGGGAAAAGGACACTGTGTGGTTTTGTTTTTCACTAATAATGTCGCTTTGTTTGTCCCTGCAGAGCTCAAAGCAAGACTTTCCAGCTCCCTGGGTCGTCATCGCCACCGTATGACAACATGACAGAAGAATCTGCATTTGACAACCCTGTTTATGAGACGGGAGTAAGTATGGACGCCATGAACCTCAAGAGACGTGGGCTCTCAAAACACCATCGTCCTGTCCTGATCAAACCTGCCTGCCATTCTGTCATTCCACCTGTCATCTATGACTCTGAACTGGTCTGCAGAACAAATAGTGCAAATAAATAGAGTGAAATGGCTAAACAGCAAACAGAGGAATATGCTTTTATTTTAAATAATGTAGCAGTATTAGTAACACCTAATGGCGCTACTAAAAAATTGAGGACCAGATATATCATAAAACTTCATAATTTAATGAGCTTAATGTTACATCAACAAACTCTAAAGAAATTCATTTGAATGTTTTTAACAATATTTCAAAATAAACAAATTTTCAAACAAGGGTTAGAAAGAATATGTCCGGTTGCAGTGGAGAAGGAAAGATTCTGGTCCCTTATGAAAACATTCATTTTAGATGTAAAAACCCATTTAGGCTCGAGGCTGTGGGTCACTGATATCTAGAACTCAGCAGATGGTGTGTGTATGTGTGTGTGTCTCAATTTGCCCTCATCATGTTCTCATATTGGATGTTCTTACTAATAATTGAGTACATCATATTGACCAAAAATGCATCTCCTTATCAAGTGTCATTCACCGTTATCTACTGAATGTGAAAGGTTCTGTCCAAATTCCATTAAATGATCACAAATATTAATGTTTATTTATATTGCCTTTATTTGATTGGATTTTTTTCATGACTCTCGCAGGACTCATTATTGTTTCAAGTCGTTTATTCATGTCATCCATAATTTATGTTTCATGTTTTCATAAATTTCCTCTCTTTTGATTCAAATGACAATAAATGCTAATGAAGCTCTTGAATTTGCTTGCACATTATACATTCATAAACTGAAATACCTTTCAAAAATGTTGATTTATTTTTTATTTGAAAGAAGGTGATACTTCTATTCAGCAAGGATGCATTCAATTGATCAAAATTGACAGAAAAGTCATTTGCAAAATGTTACAAAAATGCATAACCGATTCCACAAAAATATTAAGTAGGACAACTGTTTTCAACATTGATAAAAATAAGAAGAAATGATTTTGATCACCAAAACATATTATTGCATATTAGAAGAATGCTTTCTGAAGGATCATGTGACACTGAAGTAGTAATGGCTGCTGAAAACTCAGCATTGCATCACAGAAATAAATTGCATTTATATTACAAATATATTTAAAAAGTAAAGTTATTTTAAACTGTAATAACATTTTACAGTTTTATAGTTTTACTGTATTTTGATCAAATAAATGCAGTCTTGGTGATGGTGAGCATAATAGACTTCTTACTGACCTAAAACCTTTGAACTTTTTGTTTCAAGTTCAACTTGGATCGCCAGCTGTATTTAAGGGGGCTCTTAATGAAGACATTGAATGATAAGACAAAGCGGAACTACTGTCCTGAAATCTGATTTGTTTATCTTTTCAGGATGCAAGGCAATGCGAGGTGTGTATGTAAAATTCATCTGTCTTTCTTTTGGCACCTAGCCTCTTTTTTCTGCTGGGCTCTTGTAAATGTATTTTCTCTAAGACTTCTGCCAGCACATTAAAAATGGTGGACAATAGGGTGTTATTTCTGTAGCACATCAGAACCTGAGGTTTGTGTTATACTTTTTTTGTTTGGTAAAAAATCCCCAAGGCTCACACCTTGAGGCTGGACTATATCAGAATGCACTAGATTCTTTGTTTCACATTGGGGAACAACAGAGGTGGAAGCTGTTTTCACCCACATGCAGCAAAACCTATGAGAGTTGGGAGAGTGGCTGAGAGTCATGATGGTGATAAAGCCATTTCTCGATGTATTACACTGGCACTGTCGCTGCAATGGGGGCTTATTTGCAGAACACTTTGTAAATAAACGGTCTAAAACTACATTATGGTCTTGTGTGTTTATTATGCAATATGTTGTGTAGCTGTGGAAGTTTTTCTTTGAACAAGACTGCAGCTAATTATTTAACAGCATCATATTTTTATCTTTCAAACATCCTACATTTATTACAATAAAACAAACTTATTTTGTTTTTCAATAGAATCTATTCTATTATAATTTATTCTAAATATGTAATATCTATGAATATAAATGTGAATATTAATCATATATATATATATATATATATATACATATAAAGAAATAGTTGAAAAAAAAAGACTGAATAATTGTTCACTGCCATTTTTCAGTGCTTACTGGTGATTTTAACACTGGCCCATTCCAAAACCATCATAAGGAATTTGCTTCATTTCTTCCGTTTCGCGCATTGGTTCATGTCACGCCGGCGACGAAACGGACCAATCAGAGGCTTGAATTTTCCCTCACAATACAAAGAGGCTCGAACACGTAAACAAACCGGATAATGGCATCTGCTTTCTAAACCTCATCGGTTAATGTATTAAACAAGTTCCTCACACCCACAAAAAGGACATACTGTCGGTTCCCACAATGACCGCATCGACAGAAAGGTTTTTAAAAACGGAGGAAAGCGCAAGATGGCTCCACCGTTGATGGTAGTGATGCCTGACCGCGAAAGAATCATTGTTTTGAACAGGCTCTTTATAAAGATTCATTCGAACCGATTCGCAAAGCATTTGTAAATCACTTGACTGTAAACAATGGATGCTTTACCCAAAAGTTAAATATCTGTCATCATTTACTCACCCTCGTGTTAATTTCAAATATATGACTTTCTTTTTTCTGTGGAGAAAACTTTGGTTGTAAAATTGTGAGATGGGTGAAATGTTGAAACTATAAACAATGCAAAGTCATTAAGAACAGTAATTAAAATGTGTATGATATAAATATTTATTTAAAATGTAATTATTATAGAGAATATTAAATAGTACATAAACATCAACTATGGCAAATCACTGAATTGATTCTACTGAACCGGTTCACTGAAGCGAACCGATTCTCTAAATGAATTGGATTCCCATCGCTACTGACGGGGCGACGCATGCGCACACAGGTTTGTGCGTCAGTTAACGCGAGCGTTCCTTCATCACAACAGAGACGCTCCGCCGTTAAGTCGTTCTTTCACTGGGAGAAAAACGTCTGATTTTCGTCGCTGCCAGTTCCTCGGAGGAGTTGTTCTTCGGGGGGCTTGATGTTTGACGTCTTTGCAACATGGACTTAATGGTAATTTCTGGTTCTTTATTATTCCTTCTCTTACCGGGCCGGAGTCTCGCACAGCACCGGGGATAGAGGCCTCCGCGCGCCTGCTCGATTAACGGAGAGCCCGCGCGGAGCCACAACAGACACGGGCGGGAATTCTACGGCTGTTTTGGAGGTCAGACGCTATTCATCATTCTGACAGGAGTCGGGGTGTAGTGGCTGAGGGAAACGGAACCAGTTGGGGCTGGTGTTGATGTGGGGAAAAATGGAGAACCCGACGATCGTGTACGATCTGGATACCTCCGGCGGGCTGATGGAGGTAAGTCAAACACACTTATAGACTCGTTTATTCCTCTCTTCACTGACCAGTTAACATTCTCAAAGTAGCCGCTAACCCGCTCTTGCTCGCTAATGCCATCCATTCTATAGGTTCCTTTCATATGGGGGCGCGCGCGAGTTCACGGTCTCGGCCCAACAATGGCTCGAGAGGCTGATGTGATGTAAGAAGCGTGCAGATGTTTCACTAATGAGTTTCTGAATCTCTCTCGCTTTCCTCTTGCAGCAAATCCAGACTCTGCTGGCGCCGCCCAAGTCTGAAGATGGAGAGAAGAGGACCAGGAAACCAGACAGGAGACCCGGCAGGGCCAGCAATCATGATACCTGCGACAGTTGCCGGGAAGGAGGGGACCTGCTGTGTTGTGATCACTGCCCCGCTGCCTTCCATCTACAGTGCTGGTGTGTGTGATGCTGGAGCTGGGACAAAATTGGGCCCAGGACTGTCATTTTGGTTTAGTTGAGGCACATACGTTACAACTAGACGTCCATCAGATTTGGCTGATGTTTCTTGCATCTCCAGATGGAACATCATGGGTGCTGGGGTTTATTTATATGCTGTCTGATGTTTCTTGCATGAGCATGGAAAAGCTCAAGCAGGGAGCTGATAAATAATCAATAACCATGGACATCTGAAGGCCACGACCATGTCTCCATTATGGAGAGTTTGAGATTACGAGATGGATTTTCCTTAATCATTTGAGTCAGTTTGTCAGATGTTTGCAGATCCGCTGAAGATCTGTGATTGGCTTCATTTATTAATGTCAGCATGAAATGAAAATTCACCATATCTGTTTTCTAAATGCATGTTACAGATTTTATTGTGAACAATTCATCCGTGCATGTTTCATTTTTTCTCTCTGGTGACGTATGCAGGGCTTCTCCAATCATTTAGTCCACCTAAACTTTGCTCCTGCGTGCTTTAACGCTCATCTGCCTCCATTTTTGAGTGCAATGTCCACATCTCAAAATTCAATCAACAACTTATGCATAGAATCAAGTCCCTGCCATAAATTTTTTTTCTTATGGTAGTCTGTTACACTCGGATGTACGTCACAGTGTCGCTATCTGATGCTATTTCTGTTTTATTATGACTTTAAACTCATTTCATGCTGTAGTTGGTCAGCTGCATTGGAGGATGTTTGAATTTCAATTTCCCCTCCGTATTTTCTCATTGTTTATTCTGTCTGTTTGGGAGGTGAAATGATTCCATGTGTGTGTGGAGAAACACATGCAGCTGGTGCTACGTGGCCCACGGGCCACTGGAAATCTGCCACACTTCATCTGTGTAGTTTCTAAGTTCCAAAGTTTCTGGGATTGATCAGATGTGCTTCAAAAAGAAACTACATTAGCATGTCAAGGTCTTTTAATAGTTTTTTTGTATTTTTAGATGAATCAGATATTTGAAAGAACTGTGGGGAAATAAAGTTAGAACAGGTTTTTATTTGCTATGTTTTTACACAGTTGCTGAAGTAATATAGAGTCTGAGAGCCTGGTGCTTTTAAGTTTCATTACTGATTTATTTTAAACCATCAGTAGAACAGAAATGTTTGGACATAGATCTGTTTGCACGTGTGTAATGCATTAGAAAACAGAAGACTCCTTTCTTACATTATAATTTCATTGTAGTATTAAATGGCTGTGCATACTATAACTGTGTGTATGTTTGCTCTGTGCTAAATGAAGCCTGTAGTTTTAACTCTGACTTTGTTTACATTTCCTCAGTAACCCACCATTGAGTAGAGAAATGCTGCCCCCTGGCGACTGGATGTGTCATCGCTGCACCGTTAGCAAGAAGGTTGGTGTCCTGTCTGTTATGCAAAGTTTTAAATTTGGCCCTAATTTTTTTTTTATCTTCCCAAATATTAAAAGAGAATAGTTTATACATTTTTGTCAACAAAAGAGAAGCCATGAGATCTCCCTTCATTTTTCTGACAAAATAAAAATGGTTAACCTTTAAAAGCAAAGAAATTGAAACCAACACAAATATTAGTATTGTACTTTTGTTCTGTGAAATTATTAAAGACATCTTTTATTTTACATTAAAATCATTGGAATAATAATATATCTTTAATTTTTATAATGTAATAAAATATTATTAATTGTTATATTGTTGTTGTTATTGTATAGTCCTATTGAATGGGGGGAAAACAGGTTTCCTGATAATTATATATTTACTGTGTTTGAAAATCCCTTATACTTATTCTACAACATTTCACAATTCTGCAACATTTTTGTAGATTGTTAGTGGTTTGCATAAAAAAAGTTTCAAATATTGGTTTGTGATTCCCCCCACCCACCCCTTTAACAGAAAAGGGAACAGAAGAAGGAGCAAATTAACGGTCTGTTGGAGCAGCAGCTGGGGAAGCAAATGCCTTCTCCAGCTCCTGAGCAGGAATGTGGGACATTACGTCTGGATCCTTCCATGGGGTTGGGCAGCACAGGGATTCAGGCCGCCGTCGCTCAGGTACGGCTCCTGGAGAGACGACCCAGCAGCCGACCTGCAACCCCCAACTCCAACACTTCTTCCACAGACACGCCCACACCATCTGAGCAGAATGACATGGAGGAAGACCTCCTGGACGTGGAGGACGAGGCCCAGGGTTCTGAGCCTGAAATCTCAAATATCACAACCACCCTCAAAAGACCATTTGACCTCCTAATCGCCGCTGCCATGCAAAGGAACCCTACGCAGTTCCAGCTTCCAGTTGACCTCACTTGCACAACCACACTTCCAGGTACAGGACATTATGATCTCACTGTAAATTTGTGTGAACAGATCATATGTGAGTCTAAGATATGAAACATCTGTTTTCTTCCTCTCAGGCACCAGCAAAAGGAGACGAAAAGACGAGTTATCAGGCAAGAACGTTAAACGCCCACAACATGAGCTGGACCATTGTGGACTGGTTCCACTGCCGGTGAAAGTGTGCTACACATGCAGCAGGTACATGCTTTTATATACACATTATTTGTTATTTTACTGTTACTTTTTAATAAGCCCCCTTTTTAAGATATTATACATTAATAGTTGTCTTTTTCTCTCAGGAGTTGCCGATTGACTCCACTGATCCAGTGCGACTATTGCTCTCTCTTGTTTCACATGGACTGTTTGGACCCGCCTCTCACTGCCTTTCCTACAGGCAGGTGGATGTGTCCCAACCACATCCAGAACCTGGTAGTAAGGAAGCTTTTGTAAAACAAAAATCAAAACTTGTATATCTTTTTAATTGTGACATTTTCATATGCAAAATTGAAAAACACCCCGAAAACACCCTTACAAACATGCCACTCATTCATTCTCCTCATTTCCTCTCAGCTGAACCAGAGAACCTTGACCCTCAGCAACCGTTGCCAGTTATTTGACCAGTTTCAGGACCGCATTTCCCAGCATGCTGTCAAACTTGACTTCTTGCAGCGGATACATCGGCAGCACCCCCCTACATGGCGGTCGGCTCATGCCAACAGAAGAAAGACTCTGAAGGTTATCCGTCTTCTTTTAAACTCACTGTATGACACGAGTGATAGACACTTAGATGTTGTAGATGTTGTTGAAACTTATTTGAGATATCGCTTTGTTAATCGCAGGTTCCAGATGCCATAAAGTCACAGTACCAGAACCCAACTACTCTGATGGCCACGGCAGGAATCCGTGAAGGGGAGCTGATCTGCTCCGGCCTTTCAGAATCTTTTGCCCCACAGCACTTAGCCAGTGAAGACGAACAGTGTCAGGTGTGTATAAGCAGCCTGCAGTTTGCTTCTACTTTTGGATTCAATATTGTTTCTGAACCAGTGTTTTTATTCTGTTTATGCTTTGGTGTAGTGGCTCAAAGACGTCATCTCGCTGCAGTGCAGCATTATGAGGCATTTATGGAACAGACAAACATCTCCTTGGGATTCAGAGCACACAGAAAAGACTGATCTAAAACTCAGAGACTCTTGCCAGAGTGCCGCCTCAACGGGCAGCCAGAACATTGCTCCAAAAGTTTCCTGTAGCTCCTGTACTGATGGACTGTGTCAGAACTGTAAGACCACAAATGGCCTTGTAGACCGATTGGTTCAGTCCAATGCGTGTTCAGGAGCGTGTTCAGGAGCACATGCTGTTAAACCACAGAAAATCATCTCAGATACCGAGTCAAAAAATCAGAGATTTCCATCCCATTCCAGTGGTAAATGCCTACTTCTGTAGTTTGATTATTACCTAGCAACACTTTAAAAATATTGATTGGCTGCTTTCTCTTTCAGATGGGAATGCTGCTTCGGATTCTGTGATGGCAGGCAGTAGTGACGTCTTTTCTTGCACAGAACCTAACATGCTGGAGCTGTCCGGACGAATAAAAGACATCATGCAGGGCAGCGGAGGTGGGTTTGAGTGTGTTTCAGAGAGGAATCTTGTAATCTTTCTGTTTTGCTATCCAAGTTAGGTTGAAAACATATTGTAACTTTAAGAATTCAAAATCCTTCCCAGTTCTAAATCGTGCATTAAAGCAACTCTATGTAGGTTTGTGTATTTTTGCAACTTTGGCTCTCCCTACAGTTAAGTGAGTGAAATTCACTGTCATAATTACAGTTGATAGCTATACATAAAGCTGCCATAAAGCATTCTGCTCTTTTCACAGAATTTCATACCAAACTTACATACTTGAATTTAACTTCTGATAGAATACATCTGCATTATTTGGGGGGGGGAATGTAATTGCAGTATTTATTTATTTTTAATCTCCAGTGCTTGTTTGTAAGCCAGAGTTATGTATCAATTTGTCTACAAAATAATAATTACTACTTTATTAGGATTATTATTACTATTACTTACACTATATTAAACAAAAGACGGCAGCATTTTGTAATCATTTTGAAACCCGGTTTGTATTGCAGAAGTTGAGCTTGGCTCATTGGATGAGAATTTTATCAAGCTCTTAGCCTGGCAGCAGATTCAGCAGCTCTTTGAGTTGAAAAACTCTCCTGTTCAGAGCAGTTCTCCTTTATCGGTGTCACCCACTCACAGGAAACACAGTGAAGGTATGAGATTCATTGTTCATTATGCTCTTTTTTTAAGTTTGTGTACCCATCAGCGAATGAACTCTTGATGTTTGCGTTTCAGCCCAAAACAAGGAAGTGCAAGCGAGAGCTTCATTCTGTTCGGCCTCAGGAAAGGGAACGGCTGTAAACATGTGCTACAGGAGTCTGTACATCGGGACAGGTGATTATTATCCTGTGGCTGCAGGAAATGCGTCATCCTACAGTGTTCAGTCAGTGTGTCCGCGGGTCCTTAAAAAGTCTTAAAGGGGTCATATGATGCTTTTTTAAAGATCATTATTTTGTGTATTTGGTGTAACAGAATATGTTGACATGCTTTAAAATCAGTTGAAGGAATGACTCAGTGACTCACTCAATAAGTGACTTACCGTCACTTACTGGTAGTTTAGTTGAGAAGTATGTTGGAAAGTATGCATTTTGCCCTCAACATTTCTTATTTGTATGCATTTACAAATGCATTTTAAATGCATTTAAAACATTAATCTCGTAACATTATTTATTGCAGTTGTAATTATTGTTATTTGCAGTGTACATTATTTAATCTGACTGGTAGCAGCCCTATAGTTTATATTGAATTTATTGATAAATTGTAATAATTTGACATGTAAGATGATGCATGCATCTAAAAAGGTTAAAAATAGGCCTTTGTAAAGGTAAATATGCAGATTTAAGTATGTAAAAGCTGATAGAACATTGATGAAAATATTGCTGCAGAATAAATTGTTTGAATAAAATCTCAGTGATGCAGTTATTTTGTGGGGATATTTTGTATGGAATATTGTCTGCTGACATGAAAAGTTCACTGTATATCGTAGTAATAAATGTCATTTATTACAGAAATTATATTTTGTTTTCTTTTTAATTTATACACATTAAATATTACATATATGTATGTAATAAAATGTGTATTTCCATTACAGGTTTAGGTCTTAAATTTCATATAAGGTGGTATTAAAAAGGTCTTAAAAAGTCTTAAATTTAACTTGTTCATGTCTGCAGAAACCCTGTCAGTACAACTATGTGTTCTCATCGCAGGTGCTGATATGGATGTGTGCCTTACAAACTACGGGCATTGTAACTACGTTTCAGGGAAACATGCCTGTATATTTTATGATGAGGTATGCAATTTTAAACATTTAACATGCTTTACGCACAAAGGTGGTGTCATCCCTTTTGAGTGATTTACATTTACATACATTTGTTCTCTCCTCCTCCAGAATACAAAGCAGTATGAACTGCTGAACTACAGCGAACACGGGACGACTGTTGACAACGTATTATATTCCTGTGACTTCTCTGAGAAGATGAGCCAGAGTCCGTCCAACAACCTGCTCGCCAAAGTGCAAAACATAATCCGTGAGTTATTCCTCTTCCAGTTCCAGTGATTTAAAAATTGTGGTCAGAAAAAAAATAAATAAATGAAAAATGCACAAATGAATCATTTACAATAAATTCAATAACATGTATTTAGAAAATGGATAGGGTGATTTCTATTTCATGACAACTTTAAAAACATCGCACAGTAAGCATCAGTATTAACTCAAGTGCGTTTGTAGGACGCTGCAGGAAAAAGGAGCAGGAGGAGTCTGCAATGGGCATGGCTGCAACAACAGAGGGTGGAGTTATGAGCTGCGAGTCCCAAGATGCTCCCATCACTCCCTGTAACTGTAAAAACAGCGGCTCCAGTTTGATTGGAGGCAGTGGTGTGGGATGGGAAGGCACTGCGCTCCTCCATCACGGAAGCCACATCAAACTGGGCTGCTTGCAGTTTATATTCAGTATCACAGAGTTTGCCAACAAGTCACTTAAAGAGGAGCTCACCACCTGCACCCTCACTCCCACACCTGGCCAACAGGGGGAGCAGCTGAGCAAGGCCATGCCTCCTCCACTTCAACACAACCTTGTAACTTAACCCCTAAAGCATCAACTTGTACAGTTTAAACGGTTTCCTAATTGTTTAATTGTTTATACACTTGCATGAGGTGACCTTTTTTCTAGTTATTTCAGACTCTTTTGACAGGTTGCACATTTTCTTGTCTCAATGCAAGACTTGCATTTTTAAAGGGAAACTTTGATCATCCTGTATGCTCAGAACCAATGAGCAGTTTTCACATGTAAAAAAACAAAAATCAAAACATGTTCTATTTTGTGCCAGTAACAATAGTTTTTATATAAACATGCATTTTTCTTTTTTTCCAAAAAAAAAATGGATGCTTTTATTTATGTATGTCCTCTGGAGCGCAGTCAGACCTGGTGGTTCTTTAGCACGACATGTGCAAAGAGACTCATGTACATAGATGTATGTATCCATGTGAATAGCCAGAAAGCCACACGATTCATTGCGCAAAAGTGCTCCAGTTTGTATTATTTCTGTCGTGCACTATTTTGTTGCTGTTCAGTCCTTTTATGTGCCTGTTTCATGTGGTTCTGTAATTAGTTTTCACCAGGTTCTTGTCTCAAACTATGTAAATACAAACCAGATTTTAAATAACATGCTTTAGAAATCCACCAGCCTGTGTTCATGTGTCATGCTTACTGGTTCACTCACTGGTCTTCTATAAGATTAGTCGAGTTTTCTAAAGTTAGCATTGCTATTGCTTATTTTTAGACTGGCGCTTTAAAAAATCTCCATTGAGAATATTCAGGTGCTTAAAGTAGGATAGGCGATTTTGGAGAGGCAAGCAATAGCAAGCTAGCTTTGAAAATATAAGATCCCACCCTACCTGTAAATCACTCTCCAAAGCCACGCCTCCTCCAAAACACATGAAAACGCACAGGCAGACCAGAGGCTAACTAGCGACATGATAAGAGACACCGTTGGTGGAGGATTGAATGCAACGCTGTCAGATTACCTCAAGTCTCATTCACCGGTGAGAAAACATAATAGTACAAAGCGTATAATATTACAATAATAACGCCTTCCATTCTCGCTCAGAGGTATGCAAATACATACGTTGACAGGCAGGTAGGACCAGAGCCGATCCTTCCTATATGCAAAATACGCAAGCTGCGTAGGGCCCCCGGAACACCAGGGGGCCCCCTTGCTCTCAAAGATGATTTATTTTTAGTTTAGTTTTTGAATTTTACCCAGCGGTTATGAAAACATGAATGATCATTTCTTTTAATGCGGTGCGCTGCCGCCTTTTCTACGTAAAAATCAGTCAAATCATGTAATGTGAATGTCGTTCAGTCTTGCTCGAGAGAATGAATTGAAAGCGTACCGAACCGCGGAAGAGACACTGTTTGTCAAGCGCTTTCCGCGAGCGTGATTCGAGATGAAGTGAAACACGGACAAATGCGTTTCATTCATTCGTTCATAACCACTCATACCCCACTCCACTGCCCACATCCCCCCACCCAGCCCCCCGACACAGTTTTGCGTAGGGCCCCCAGAAGTCTAGGATCGGCACTGGGTAGGACAGCCTAGCCCTAGGACCGAGGGATATGACTGGACGAATATTTTATGATCCTACGCCTTCCACAGACCATATAAATACATTTAGACCACTTAACTTAGTGATTGCTATCAGGATGTGAAGAGACTTTCAACCAGCATAACAAAAAAATCATGTAATGTGAATGTCGTTCAGTCTTGCTCGAGAGAATGAATTGAAAGCGTACCGAACCGCGGAAGAGACACTGTTTGTCAAGCGCTTTCCGCGAGCGTGATTCGAGATGGAGTGAAACACGGACAAATGCGTTTCATTCATTCGTTCATAACCACTCATACCCCACTCCACTGCCCACATCCCCCCACCCAGCCCCCCGACACAGTTTTGCGTAGGGCCCCCAGAAGTCTAGGATCGGCACTGGGTAGGACAGCCTAGCCCTAGGACCGAGGGATATGACTGGACGAATATTTTATGATCCTACGCCTTCCACAGACCATATAAATACATTTAGACCACTTAACTTAGTGATTGCTATCAGGATGTGAAGAGACTTTCAACCAGCATAACAAAAAAATTTTTTGAACCAAATCACCTACCATGCCTTTAACTTGTTTGTGCAAGATGCAAATCATATGGTTGGTTTGTGTGCTATTTTTGTTTAAACCAGACTTAACATTTTCATCTAGTGTATGATTGGACAAGCTTGAATTGGATACATTTACACTGAAGAAGTGACTTAAATGATTAATGATTTTGAATTAATCAAAAAATTGTATTTACATGTTATTCATTTATATATCCATTTCCCTAAACGTTGGACCCCTTGCTGCCTCCTAGCGGTCCAGAAATCCACCAGCCTGTGTTCATGTGTCATGCTTACTGGTTCACTCACTGGTCTTCTATAAGATTAGTCGAGTTTTCTAAAGTTAGCATTGCTATTGCTTATTTTTAGACTGGCGCTTTAAAAAATCTCCATTGAGAATATTCAGGTGCTTAAAGTAGGATAGGCGATTTTGGAGAGGCAAGCAATAGCAAGCTAGCTTTGAAAATATAAGATCCCACCCTACCTGTAAATCACTCTCCAAAGCCACGCCTCCTCCAAAACACATGAAAACGCACAGGCAGACCAGAGGCTAACTAGCGACATGATAAGAGACACCGTTGGTGGAGGATTGAATGCAACGCTGTCAGATTACCTCAAGTCTCATTCACCGGTGAGAAAACATAATAGTACAAAGCGTATAATATTACAATAATAACGCCTTCCATTCTCGCTCAGAGGTATGCAAATACATACGTTGACAGGCAGGTAGGACCAGAGCCGATCCTTCCTATATGCAAAATACGCAAGCTGCGTAGGGCCCCCGACACACCAGGGGGCCCCCTGGCTCTCAAAGATGATTTATTTTTAGTTTAGTTTTTGAATTTTACCCAGCGGTTATGAAAACATGAATGATCATTTCTTTTAATGCGGTGCGCTGCCGCCTTTTCTACGTAAAAATCAGTCAAATCATGTAATGTGAATGTCGTTCAGTCTTGCTCGAGAGAATGAATTGAAAGCGTACCGAACCGCGGAAGAGACACTGTTTGTCAAGCGCTTTCCGCGAGCGTGATTCGAGATGGAGTGAAACACGGACAAATGCGTTTCATTCATTCGTTCATTTGTTCATAACCACTCATACCCCACTCCACCATCAAAACATAGATGGAGTAGATCGCTTCCATCGACATTTCATTCAGTATTCCACAGACCATATAAATACATTTAGACCACTTAACTTAGTGATTGCTATCAGGATGTGAAGAGACTTTCAACCAGCATAACAAAAAAATTTTTTGAACCAAATCACCTACCATGCCTTTAACTTGTTTGTGCAAGATGCAAATCATATGGTTGGTTTGTGTGCTATTTTTGTTTAAACCAGACTTAACATTTTCATCTAGTGTATGATTGGACAAGCTTGAATTGGATACATTTACATTGAAGAAGTGACTTAAATGATTAATGATTTTGAATTAATCAAAAAATTGTATTTACATGTTATTCATTTATATATCCATTTCCCTAAACGTTGGACCCCTTGCTGCCTCCTAGCGGTCCCTGGACTTAAACCATTTCAATCGACCAGGATATCTTAAAATCTCGACCACCCTAGAAACATGGACATGGTTTCAAAATTTCATCAACAGAGGCCAGTTAGCAGCTTACTGTAACAAATTGCTTTAAATCAGCGCAACAGTGTTGTAGTGTTCAATATAATAGCTATGAGTGTTTGGGTTTTGCAATCTGAATGGACTGTATCCAGGAGGGCGTGTTTGACTCCAGCACGTCTTCCTGTTCCCAGTCTGGAGGAAACCGCTCTTTCATAAGTAAATATAGCAGTTATTGCTCTGATCGTTTGAGTATAATGTTTACCGTTCTGCTCGTTTGCGGAGGACTCGTCGGGTTTTACCTGCTGCTGTGCGTGACGGTGTTGCAACTGCCAAAATGTAAAAGTACAGCCAAGCTGCACGGGAAGACCGTGATCGTGACTGGTATGTGTTCGGTTTTAGGGCATTTGACATTCTCTTCAGTCACGCATGTCCCAATTTGATCATTATTGATAGTGTTACAACATTTTTTTGCGCATTTTACGCTTCTCGTAAGCACTCCAGGCGTGTTACACACGTGTTACATGTACGTGTTACATGTTAATTATTTTAACATGACCCGGCGTTTTAAAAACGCGGCGCGAGAAGCTGAAAAAGCAAACCAGGCGTAACGCTTAGACTTCTGTTTAACATAGTTTTTAAGTCGAAAACAACACTTTACATCACCAGTAGGCTAAGAAAGTGAAATAATTTATATTAAAATCTATATTGTTTCACGTTACAACATGAGTGAATCTTCAAAAAGATCACGGGCTTTGGACAATACATCAGGGGTTTCCCCAAAGTCACTACTCACCAATAGCAGATTACAAGAGGACAATACTTCTGTTATCTTCTGAGATGTGTCTGAAGTGAAGTGTCTGACATTAAATAGAGCTCCATTATGATGGTTTCTTGATGCTGCATTACATTCATGAAGACTGTTAATGACAATAAAATTCTTTAAATCAGTAGTTTTGTAATTATATGTCATTTTCAGTTTGATTGTGTATATAGAAACATCATATTTTAGATTCACTACAAAATATGCTTCAACAAACACATATACCATCAATTAACAACCTCGTAGTTCATATGTAGGTCTGTCTTTATAAGTTTTCGTAAAGTTTTTGTTGAAAACGAATGGAATTTTTACCTTAATATTTCCTCATTAAAAACCTTTGCCCCTAAATAAATTATATAAATAGTACTTTTATAAATAATAATAAATAAAAATCCAGTCATATCAATAGCATGCTGTTTTTTTAAACAAATCTGTGATTCTGCTATATAAATTTGCAGAATTAATGTAGGGATGTTGTGAAATCAATGAACTGATGTGACTGCCGCACAGGAATCAGGAAACAAAGAGGTGTTGTATATGCACTTGGATCTGGCCAGTCTGAAATCTGTGAGGTCTTTCGCTGAAAACTTTCTCAAGAAAGAATCCAGGTTGGAAATTCTTATCAACAATGCAGGTAGCTATCAAATATATGCAATTTTATGTTATGCAATGATACAACTAGTAACTTTTTAAGATAACTAACTGAAAATCTGCCTCAGGTTTAAAAACTTTATATTTATTTTTTTCTGTTTGTAGGACTTGTTATTGGTGGCAAGACTGAGGATGGCTTTGGAAGGATCTTTGGCGTCAATCACCTCGGTCACTTTCTGTTAACCATCCTGCTGCTGGAAATGTTAAAAGAGTGCGGCCCCAGCAGAGTTGTGACAGTCTCTTCAATGGCCCATTGCAGGGGGAAAATCGGTTTCGACTGCATCAACACTCATAAAGATTTGGGTTTAGGAAATTCCACATTGGCCTTAATAATGTTGTACAGTCACAGCAAACTCTGCAATGTCCTCTTTACGCATGAACTGGCCAAGAGACTCAAAGGCACAAATGTCACCTGCTACAGTCTTCATCCAGGTCAGTTTGTGTAAGCAGTAAGAAGCAGTACTTGATAAAATCTCATAGGTCATAAGTGATCTGATTTATTTTGTAGGGGCCATTAAAACGGACATTGGTCGCCACGGCAATCTATGGTGGCGCCTGTTCATGGCACCGATTTTGCTGCTTTTCTTTTCGGACGTGGAATCTGGAGCTCAGACATCTCTTTACTGTGCACTTCAAGAGGGTATTGAACCCCTGACTGGACGCTACTTCTCTAGCTGTGCAGTGCAGAATGTCTCTGCTAAAGCCAGAGATGATGCAGTAGCCAAAAAGCTTTGGGAAGTCAGCGAGAGGCTGGTTGGTTTAGCGTGAGATTATCAGTTTCATTATGGATTTGCACTTTCACAGTTTATTTAGTGGCACCTGTGGTCAACTGTGTTGGATAAATCTGTTTCTGCATATTATAAAAATCCTGTGTCAAATATGCTAACACCACAACAAACAAGCCATTTAATTCTTATAATAAAAATGTTCTTTGTTTTACAGATTGTGTTTGTGCAAATATCACTAATTAGCAAACATATTTTGAATGTAACTTGCAGAAATCACTGTGTATATGACATGTTTTCCCTTCCTGAAGTTTATGGGACCAGGTTTCCACTGCGTAAATCATGTTTCTTTGTCATAACAGAGTAAAGACATAATTCACTAGGTGTGTCTGGGGATACCGAGGCCTTTACTGTGTTGAATGTGTCACCTCTCCCAGTTAAGAGTATGTCACTGATTTAGTAAAGGAACAACATGCACTCTCACCTATGGATTTCATGTGTCAAAAATACATCAAGGAATGCCAAAACTTTGGGCCCAGTTACTCAATATCTCCATGATAATGTGACTCAAAATAGTTTGGCGCTGATTTTTTTGATGATGTCATATACTAGGTAATTCAAACAACATTCAATCACTTCAGTTTTACCAATAACTACTACAAACTTGATATATATTTTATTATTTTTGAAAGATCATGTGACACTGAAGACTAGAGTAATGGCTGCTGAAATTCAGCTTTGCAATGATCAGAATAAATCACATTTTAAAATATATTAAAATAGAGCATGGTAGGGAGAAGCAAATGATTTAAATTTCTCAATTTTTACAAACTGTGGTGATTATTTTAATCTAATTTTGAGACAATTATGGTTATTTAACATATTGTATGATCTTTCAGATTACCTGTGATGGATGTGACAGGTGGTAGCATCAGTCATGTGTTGGCAACCCAACAATTTTCTTGGGGGGGCACTTTTCTCTGGCCTCTAGAAAAATCTGTTCCCCGTGTTTTCAGTGTCAAGTGTTCTGCAGATAAAAGTGGTTAGAGATTTTAGGACTGAAGTTTGAGGGTTGCCAGGATATAAAAAAAAAACTGCCCAATTGCTACTAAAAACTACCGCTGGAAAACCGCGGACTTGGCAACACTGCGAGGTTGCGCAGGCGCTGTGAGGGGGAAACAGGGAAACTGAATTCACCGGAACACCGGCACGTGTTTTAGTTGTGGTCATGAGAGATGTTTGGTTTGATGTTTCAGGCGGGAATACTGGTATCGGTAAGGCCACAGCTCTAGATCTGGCAGGTCGTGGAGTAAGAGTCATTCTGGCCTGCAGAAACCAGAAGAAAGCCGAGGCAGCTATAAATGACATCAAGAAGGTGAGGACCATCACTTCTGAACACTGATTCAAGAGTTTCGAGTGTTTATTGAAGCCATATTTGTTGTTCAGTCCACAGGAAGCGATGATATCCTGTTCATGGAGCTTGATCTTGGAAGCCTCAAATCTGTGCGAGCTTTTGCTGAGAACTTCCTCAAATCTGAGTCAAGACTGGATCTGCTCATCAACAATGCAGGTAAGCCAAATCCTCAAAACGGTTTCAAATCAGAATGTAAACAAACGTGGGAACCAAAGGTAAAAGTTTGGCCATCTTGATTGATCTGAATACTACAGGGAACATGTGGCACTGTATTCAAATGTTTTTTTTATGTTTAGGTCTTGTGGCAGATGGTAAAACCGAGGATGGTTTTGGCGTAGAGTTTGGTGTCAACCATCTTGGTCATTTCCTGCTCACATGTCTTCTCCTGGACCGTCTGAAGGAGAGTCCTGCTGCTCGCGTCATCACCCTGTCCTCCATGGCCTATCGCTGGGGCAAGATTGATTTCGATTCTCTTGTCGCTACCAAAGACCTGGGGTCGGGGAGATACAGCTGGCAGTTCTTCCAAGCCTACTGCAACAGCAAACTCTGTAACGTCCTGTTCACTCACGAACTGGCCAAGAGACTGAAGGGCACGAACGTCACCTGCTACAGTGTTCATCCAGGTAAATCATACTTTAAGGAATAAAAAGTTGAAGTTCTGTCATTATTTACCTACTCATGTTATTCAAAACCTGTATGAACTTTTTTTTTTCCATTTGTTTGTACATCATTCAAATTCCTCTTTTTGCGTTCCACAAATGAAGAGTCATACAGGTTTGGAATGTCACAGGGTTGAGTAAATGATGGCAGATTTTATTTTGGGGGAACAGTTCATACTCATTTTTAGGAAGTTCATATTCATTTTTGAATGTTCACATTCACTAAAAAAATATATTTTTAGAACTTTTAGATTATTGGGGTACCTTTTACAAGAAAATACAATGTTTGTTTCATGTTTAATTCAGTGTGTTACTTTCCATTTCTTTGTCATTATTTATGAAATATTTATTAGCAATTTCTAAGAAAAAATAGTTTCAATACCACTTTTTTTGTGATCTTAAGGTGAGGTCACAATGACATTTTGGCAAAATTTAGCTGTCAAACGAAGGTATATTATCAAGTCACACACAAGTCACTTTCAAACCATGCAGCTTTCTGTTGGCCAATGTGGCAAATCTGCAAAAAACTTGAACTCTTTGGGAAATCTGTGTGGGGACATCATTCGCCCTCACACAAAGTTTCCGATCTCCTTTGAAATAACTGGATTTCATTCTCAAAAATTGGCAAACAGTGGCAAATATGACCGTACTTTTTGACCGTACATTAACAGAAGCTCCATCCGAAAGCTCATACTGTCTAGTATAGGTACTACGTTTGGTTTGAAACTTAGTAGTATAAATGAAATTCTGATGTACTACATCTGCCATGTTGTCACCATCACGTGACCTTCCAGCATCAGTTGTCGCTTGAGTGCCATTCACAACTTTTTGTTTACTAATCATGAATACGTACTTATTTGTGCATAAAATCAGAATGTTGACAACCAACTGGAGGCGCTGGAATGCAAAATCACATTCCCGGTGGGAATGAAACAATTAATTTAAAATGATGAATAATGAGATGATCAATAATGACATGATGAATAAATAATAAGAGTGAATGAGACCCATAGTTTTTGTGTATAGTTTTGCGTGTGAATTCCAGATCATTGATACAAATCTAGCCAATCATCTGGAATGTTCAGAGCCATTTCCTGTTTTTTGATAAACCTTCGTCTTAAATATTCTCTGCTAAATCACCAATCAGTTGTTCAGTTGGGTTAAACAAATGCATAATATTGTATGATCCCTTTTGCAGGTGTTGTAAAGACTGAGCTCTCCCGCCATGTGAGTCTCTGGCAGAAAGTGTTCATCGAGCCAGTGGCTAGATTGCTGTTCCTGGACCCAAAAACTGGAGCCCAAACGACTCTGCATTGTGCCGTTCAGGAAGGAATCGAGCATTTCAGTGGACGTTATTTCTCATGCTGCGCTGTGGAGAAAGTTAGTGCCAAAGCTAATAATGACGTGGTGGCCAAAAAGCTTTGGGAAGTCAGTGAACGACTGAGCGGCCTTTCATAAAACCAGAGGAACTGTTTTATTTCTGGTGGCTGGAGACTATCTGTGAACTTTATTTATCCCTAAAGGGGGGGGGGTTACGTATGAAGTGATGAAGCTAATAATGACATGGTGGCCAAAAAGCTTTGGGAAGTCAGTGAACGACTGAGCGGCCTTTCATAAAACCAGAGGAACTGTTTTATTTCTGGTGGCTGGAGACTATCTGTGAACTTTATTTATCCCTAAAGGGGGGGGGGGTTACGTATGAAGTGATGAAACTGATTGTAGCATTTTTTTTATTATTTTTTGTTTATGGATGCACAATTATTTACAAGGTTTACAGTGTTTTATTTGTATGTTTACATTAACTGCTGTATGCTGGTGAGTTTTTTTTTTTACTGTATTAAAGTATCTAATGGAACCACTGTTATCCTGGTTGGTTCTTTATTGTATGAAATATGAAATTTTAAATGATATGAAGTCAAAACTCAAATGTGAGCAATATAGTCATGTTTCTTGACACATGTGCCAATCCCCAGCTAGATTAAACTCAGACATGCTTACCTTTTGTTATATTGCAGCAAGTCGTAATCTAAGTATCTAAGCTTGTCCAAATTGTGAGATGAAAGGCTTTTATTATTATTATTATTTCAGAAATTGACAGCACTCATTCGTGTCTTGTTTGTGAACATCTCAAACGATGACTTCGTCACTTAATATCGCACGTTAATTGAGGTCAAGTGCAAAATCTCCTTACAAACAAGCTATTGATATTATTTTCGGATGTAGATCGTATCTCAAGCAGGTTTGTCTAGGTCTAGTTAGCAGTACGCTACGTGATCTCTTCTCTAAGTAAACCTCACATGCGTTTGACTCGTGCTCACCTGAACATAAGCATGTGTCTTAAACGCACGTCCCGCTATACAGAGAATGAAAAAAATATTTTCTTAATGAGGTTAGAGGGTTTTGTGAGTTTGTGACTTCAGGCTAAAGCTAAAATCCGCTTAGGCCCCGATCAGACAGAACGCGTTTTTCAGGTCTGAAAGCGCGAGGCGCACCACACTGCCTTTTTTGGTTGACTTTTTTAATTTAGAAAAGTGCTTTCGAATGACGTCGGGTGCTTTTCAGCTCAGAGTTGATTTTTTTCCATCTTCGAAAAAAAAAAAAAAAAGAGCGCTCCTAAAGTGTTGCCAACTTAGCAATTTTGTTGTTAGATCTAGCAACTTTTCAGACTACCCTAGCAACTTTTTCTTCAAAAAGTACCTAGCAACAAATTTAGCTATTTTTAAAATTTATTTCGCAACTTTTAGCAGCTGTGACTCAAATGATAAAAAGGCACACCTTTTCCTTGAAGCTGCAGTCCTGAAAACCTGGAATTGCAGCTGTGTGCGGAATTATCTAGCTTGTGTGGGTTGTGAGTCGGCATGGCTCCAGTTTGGATGAATCTAATGTTGTGAAGGGTATGTGTGGCAGTCAGTCACCGCACCGGTGTGGATATTTACTGTACTTCGCAATCACAGATTCTAGCCTACGGCTTGGAATATGATCCAAATAAGAATTTTCACTGTATATTGCCATCTGAATAAGTAAGTAACAAGTCTGCCATGTTTGTTCTGACCAACTGAAGAAAAATCATTACCATAAACCTGGCTACCAATGGTGATTAAATCTAAAGATCGGTTAGCTCATATCACATCAAACCGTTCAAATTATTATTATTGTTATACTTTATTCTCAAATGATTAATGTTAACAACATCAGCATTGGTGACTATGAGTTGTTTCATAAACACATAATCCTTTCTGGATTACAATCCGCCATCAAAATGATACAATTCATTATTCCAGCTGCTGTGAGAAAAGGCTATTAACGATCGGCCACCTGCAGCATTCTTACATGCGATAGCCTAGTAGCCGGGACAACTTCTTTATGTTTACAGAAGTGATGTAATGACGCAGCGGCATGCTCGAATTTCCCGCGAAAACCTACCCGTACCACTCAAATTAGAAAACATTATTATAAGCTGACCGTTGTGAATCGGGCTAAAGTAAGGCGATAGTTTTGAACACAGGCTGGTTATGTACTTGCTCAAATATTGATTTCGGATCATTTTAACCAAAAAAAGTTACGGACTGCAGCTTTAAATTACACAAAAAGAGGAAATCAAAGGTGTCCAGCAGTACACATATCATGTCAAGTTGCTAGTCGCAATTGTTCAATAATAATTGTTTATTCATGAAAACAACTTGTTATTAGTTTGTACCTGCACTTGTTGATCAATTTAAAAAAATGTAGAAAAATGGAAAAGGTAGGCTAATGGTAATTTTCTGCCAGAATATTATCCATTAAGTTGTAACCTGAAAACACAAAATACAATGCATAATTTTAAATGTAGGTAAAAAAAAAAAAACCTGTGAAAAATCAATACAGAAAATTCCTTCAAATTAACACAGTACATTGTGCCCTATTATACAGATTTTTCTTAAAGTGTAGCATACTAACTTCCAATACACTGCTTTAAAATATAATCGCTCAGAGTGTGTAGTTTTACTAGTTAATAAGAAAATACATAAAAAGATAATTGTTCAAAAATGTGTAAATGTTCAATAATTCAATGTTGTATTTAAATATATATATATATATATATATATATGAATGTAACTATATATATGCTATATAAATCACATGACGTCAATGCGCAATGACATCACTACGTCATTTAGCAACAAATTGACCTGCCTTTAGCAACTTTCCATGAAAATTAGTTGGCAACAAGTTTGAAACCATAGCGTTGCCCCTGCTGCCAAGTACCAACAGAAAACAAAAAGGCTCCTCTCAATGCAAAAAAACGCATTCTGTCTGATCGGGGCCTTAAGCAGCATTGTGGAATGTTTTTATACAGGAAAAATAACTAGAAGCGAATAACACCGGAAGCCACACACAAAAGTTAAAAACGGCCCTGCCCGCCCGTTTCTTAGTAAAGGGTGTTACAGAAACTGAACAATTGAAACTGAACAATTTGTCCAATTTTATTGTCAACCACTACACAAGGTATGTTGACTGAAATGTTTTTATTTTCACTTTGAACGGAAAAGGATCTCATGGCAGCCTCTGAACAAACATTATGAACAACATGAAATCTGACAAAACTGTGTGAAATAGTATTTGTAAACCTCTGAATTTGACCTAAAAGAAAAACTTCCTGCACACATAAAGTAGACATTAAAAAAAATAATGATAAAACAAAAAGATCCCCCCCACCCCACACACACACACTTTTCCTACAAATAATTTCCTACGGAATAAGATGAAGACAGATAAATGATGACAAAAGTTTCATTTTTTGGTGAACTATTTTTTTTTTAACTTGAACGCTCTGAAACTAAAAAAAGAATGTCTCTCAGCATCTCCCTAAGTCTTTTTTAAGATTATACAAAAGCAAAGAAAACGCGAGAATTTCCAAAATAAAACAAAATACTGTAATGCATTACAAACTAAATCTAAAGTGCTCAGGTTGAGTTTAACCTCCTGGAATTTACAATACCTACAAAATATATGAATATTCATTCAAATAATGTCTGATCAGACGAATAAAATACTGACAATAAAGTTACAAATAAGCTAAAAACTATGATATGCATCTAAACATGTTAGCCCTAAATTGTTTATGGACAGAATATATAATCATACATACAAAGTCAACACTGAAATTGCCACTTTTCCCTTTAAAGTCTCTTTGTAGTTTTAGTAAAGCCTGCTTTTGCATATCCATACATTAACACATTTAGGCCTTGTCTGTTTTAACTGCCCTCAAAAAAAAAAAAACTGGAGGAGGAGGACTTGAACCATAATGGTCAGCTTGTGCATCCCTATCTTCAAAAAGTTTCAGAATGTCCACCCTGCATCGGATCCAAGCATGGCAACGTCAACTTGTAAAATGTGCCTCAAAGTGTCACTCAAACCAGTGTGATCTCCACCTCTTCTCTCTTCTGCACCTGGCCCTGTGCCTGTTGTTTGGGTGGAGGTGGAGCAGCTCGTACCTGCAGAAAACAAAAACACCCATCAGATTTCACAGTTAAGCGCCCATCATTGGCATGCAGCTTTAGAAGTGCAGATCTCACAGGTCTCAGGCCCGACCCGCCTTCTCCTGGGGATCTGGGTGATAGGGTGTGGGTGTGACCTGTGGAGGAAAAGACACAGATGAATATGATTCTGACATCTGACAAGAGCATAAATCTAATAATAGAATAGCCTCAGGCAGTGTTGTTTTAGTATCATTGAAATACTATTGAGATACTATTATTTTATTCATATTTTGAATTAGGTTTATATTTTCTGTTCATTTTAATTAAAAAATGTGAATCATTTTGTAGTGTGGTTTTGTATTTTTTTGAAATGTTACATTTCTATGTGTTTTTTATGTCTATTTAGTTTGTATTAATTTTTAGTTTGTTATTTTAGTACATCAAGTTAAACAATACAAAATGAAACATTGCTTTGGCAGCTAGCTTGAGATAAAAAAAAAGTTTTATATTTTATTTTATTTCAGTTAACGTTTATTTTATTTCAAGTAACAAACTTTTTATGGTTTTAGGTTTAGTTAGCTGTAATAACCCTTTTTATTATCATAATATAAAAAAATGTTTTCGTAACTTGAAATGAAGTCGAAAATATAAAAAAACACGAATATTAAATGAAAGACGTAAAAAAATGAAAATGAGAAATTTTGCCTTGGGATCTAACTGAAAATAAGTAAAAGTTCTAAAACAGAAAAAACATTTAAAATGATAAATGCACATAAAATGACTAAAACATTGAAAACTGAAAATATCCAAACAAAAGCTAAGTCAAAATATGAATGCATATTAAAATAGTATATAAATAATATTAAAATAACACTGGTAGGCCAGAAAGTGAATTAGATTTTTTTCAATTAGAATTGATTAATTAGAAGTTTATTTGTAAGTAGTTAAATTAATAAAATCAAATAACGTTTTTTTTTATCATTCAAAATGTTTAAGACAATGAGGTAGTGAGACTGAAAATCACTAAAAATGTTATAGTCATGTGTGAGCTTTACTATAAAGCTTTATGGTTTGCTGTGGTGCTCTGTGTCTTACTGTGGCTCGAGATTTTGGGGGGTTCTGGGGTTTGATAGCCGTTTAAAGTGAGTGTGCTGCTCAAAGATGGCAGCGAAACGGACTCTGGACTTCTACAGGATGGAAACACTGTGGGTGGACTAGCCGCTTGATCCAGAACTGACAGAGACACCTGGTGGTAAGAAACAGCTATTACAAAAATATTTCGGAATTGAACACAGGCTTGCTGTAAACATGAACACAGAAACTTTTTCAGTGTGGCCAGTGTTCTCCAGTAGTATGTGTATAAACCTGCACGTTCATGCTCTTGTG